TTTTACATGTTGGCATATCCACATCAACTGTTTCAATTAAGTTAACGTGCCACGTGAGCAAAAATTAACTGAAGGACCAAAAAGGGGCTGGATTTGTGAACAGTAAGGGCAAAAAAAGGGATTTTTTCGGTACAGGGACCAAAAAGGGGCTTTTTCGGTACAGGGACCAAAAAGGGGCTTTTTCCTATAGTAGAGGGACCAAAAAGGGTATTTAACCAAAATTTATCATAAAAAACTTTCTCGTGGAAACACAAAGAATAAAGGCGAATCACAAATGTATATCAAGGCTCTGTCCGTCCTCTACAAATTCCTTACAGGAAACTTAGGAAGTTGACAACATGAAGAAAATATGAAATGTCCAATCAATTTTTTTTTTTTTGAACAGTGTGAAATTTTTACGGGGAAGGGGGACTTGGGATTTGATCCCAAGTTGGCTAGTCCTAAGCACATCCCGCAAGGGGGTGGCCAGTAGGCCACCAAGTGCTGGACGAAACGTCCAATCAATTGAGTAACGGTCAATGTGATTTTCATATTTTACAAAAAAAAAAGTCAACAAATATACAAGACAGGACAATTTTTTAGATTAAAATAAAATTAAGCTGATATTTAATAAATGAATTATTGAACTAAGCATCAATTTCTTGTACACCACAAAATCGTGATGTTCGTGATGAACGATTTTTTACCCTTAACATGCACCCAACATTGTTGATATCTTCAACTGCTTCCATACTTGAAAATCCCGAAGATGTTTCTTTAGGGAAAACAGTCCGACGCTCAAGTTAACAATATTCAATGTTCTAGAGAGAGATGCTCTTGAAGAGTAATTGCAGAGAGAGAAACGTAATGGAGTTAATACCTTGCATGGAGGTAGTTGGGGGTATTTATAGCCCCATATACTGACATGAGCTCAAACATGTGTTCATCCCATTGGTCCACGTGTTACTATTCACGTGAGCGTGTCTCCTCATCTTGGGCCTGTGGGTGTACAACTGGGCCTATTGCATGTGGCCCGAAGCAAGTATTAGGCCTAATCCCTACATTACTCCCCTCTCAGTGTTCGATTGACGAACTGGGTTGAGAGTCCCATTAGCACAGTGTTTAACCCTGGGGATGAAGAGTGAAGTTTTACGGTTTATAACCAACCTAACGCATGGCCGATCTGGGCGGCTTGAAGACAACGTGGCCTGGTCTGACGTGTACATACATGCTGGCTTCCTACCGAGCATGCGTGGGGAGGCTGGTGCCAAAACTGGTGTGAGCTCGGTGCTAATCGGTGAGCTAAGCGGGAGCGCAAAGGCGATCTCGCATAATGGGTTTCCTATAGTAGATCCAAGACGAGCATACAGTGGACAAGCTGGGCCATTCCAACCTGTGAAGACCGTACCTATTGAGGTCAGCCTAATATCAAAAGAACGAACCAAAACCATACTGATGGAGTGTGAATATTAAGACGAATTGAAATGAGCGACCTCAATCATCACTAAAATGTGGATCTCCAGGATACGGAGCAAATCTGAGTGAATTGGTAACGATCTAACATTTGATATTCAGAATTGAGGTAAATCTGTGATTTGTTACGAGCTGATCCCTGAGATTTCTCAAATTTTAAATTGTGGCAAATCTTTGGGGAGATCTCAGATTTGTTACGAGATGATCCTTGAGATTTTTCAAATCTTAAATTGTGGCAAATCTCTAGGGAGATCTCGGATTTGTTACGAGCTGATCCTTGAGATTTTTCAAATCTTAAATTGTGGCAAATCTCAGAGGAGATTTGCTCAGGGCATTTGGTATTCTTCTGCCAACGGCAGATATCCCTCTGCCTTCCCACAATAAATGCTGGCTCAGCATTTGAGGGAACGTGACAGCTGCAAGCGACGAGTTTTGGGCGCTTAACCATAAATGACCGTCACGTGGACGTGATTAACTGGGGGGCCATAAACACGCATTCGGCGTTCCAGGAGCACTATCTGAAGGACAAAAAACAAAAGCAATTACTCAGTCATTCTCTGTTCCATTACATAGTACATTAGTGTTTTCTTTAGAGAAGGTTGCAGAGACGCTCCAGGCTATTCCTAGAGTTTTCAGCGAAAGGACAACCAGTTTCAGACATTCAGGTAAAAATGTCTTCTTTCACGATGCAAGAGAACTTCGAGGTAACCAAGGTGGGGAAGACCAAGTGGATATGATATCAATGGAGCCTATCACCATGATAGTGCTGTCGAAGTAGCAGGATTTGCCAAGAACCATCACGTCGGAGAGTAGCGCGAGTTCGAGTGCGGGTGGTGGTTCTGGTGACCATCGTTCTTCGACTTCGTCTAGTGATATGTCCGTGGAAGCGACACCCAGTGAAGCGAGGGGTGCTGAAGAGGTTGGTTGTAGTGTGCTGGCGATAAGTACAACGGCGGAGGTGGTTGTGTTCGAAGGGTGGGAGAGCAAGGTTATCAACGGGAGATTAGATAACCTTTGCAAGGCACCCAAAACCCTACCTGTTGGTTTTAGGTTCAGGACGGCACTGCACCACAAACTTGCAAACGGCGCGGCCATGATAATGGGGTATAAAAAATTGGAAGAGATGGTGAGACGATACCAGATCCCCAAGACTATCCTGATCCGAGCAGGGACACCAAACAAATGGGCCTGCACAGTATCACGAACAGGCTGGGTGCCAGTATACGTAGACCATTTTGACCCTAGTCTATGTTTTCCTCTGCTCAGACTAATTTTTGATGTCCTGGTAGAGTACAAGCTGGCCCTAACGCAACTAACTCCCAATAGCATAAAGTTTATTATAGGCTTTATGCTGTTGTGTGAGAGGCTGGGAGTGCCTGTGAGGGCAATGGTCTTCAGGTCGCTCTTCCTGTGCCGTCTATGCCCCTCCACCAGTGGGTCGAGATGGTACTACATCTCCGGGAGAGGGAAGATGATGACATTCACCAACATCAGAAATAAGGTGGTGAGGTGGAAGAAACAGTTTATCTTCGTTCGCGATACACGAACTGAAAGGATCAATAACGAGTTCGCCGCCCGTCTATCAAAGTGGCGCACACCAAATGCCTATATGAACTACCCTCAGCTGACTGTTGGTGATATCGACCTGAAGAACCAGCTGCTCGATCATGTGAAGGCGAGGGGTTTGGTGGATTTAGAAGCCTTAGTTACCCCGGAGCAACTTGTGTTAGTTGGGTTTGTCAACGTGACAAACCTACATGCTGAAGGTATATTTCTATAGCATAGTATAATTTCTAGCCGATCTGAGTCTTATGCCTTTGTTTGTGCAGGATAAATGAGCAACATCCTGGAGAGGCAGTGTCAACAAGCACAAGGCTCGAGGAACCGTGGAGCTGGGTCCAGTTCCCAACATCAAACTCGCTTTGACGACCGCCACCTACTGCACCGGGGCGCAGTTCGTCCCACCAAAGTTCGTGCTTGGCACCAAGACCATGTGCCGAGCAGAGAGTTGAAACTACGCCCTCAGGTTCAAGAAGGTGTGCGCGGGAGGACTCTGAGGCTGAGGATGACATTCCCCTCATCTAGCAAAGGACGAGTATGAGATCTCAGCCCGCTTCAGCCGCTGCAGTGCGACCTGCTAACGTGCCCCCAGCGCCAACACGTGAGGTTGCTGAACCAGCGCCTGCCTCGTCATCTGCATCAGGGCCAAGAATTGCATACTCAGAGAGCTTCAGTTACGTCAGAACTGACTGCCAAGCCGCAATGGTGCAAGGTATGTAAAGCTTTGTGCCCCCTACAGATCGGCAACGTTCTAAGGGGCACGTTCAGTAGCATGGAAGTCATGCTGCTTTACTGAAGCTAATGGATGTAAGTATATTCAACGAGCACACCGTTTGTATTCTATAATTTTGTGTTATAAATTAACGATGAAATTTATATGGTAGGCGTTCAGCTACACCGTAGCACTCTTTGAGTGCGAGTAAGCATGCAGAATCGCGAGCTCCAACAAAACTACAAACAACTAGCCTCTGAGAAAGCCAATTTGACTGATGAGGTCAGTCGTTTGTAGAGCTCGAAGATGGCTAACCGAGCGGCGTCAACTAAAAGCCGAGCTGACGAGTTGGCCCGCAAGGTCAATGAGCTACGAGAGGAGCTTGAAAAAGCTCAAGCAGAGAAGAGTGGCATTCAAGCTGCTAAGGAGGAGGCCGTCCGTGCTGAAGACCGCGCCAAGAAGGCAGAATCTGACAAGGAGAAGGCTTTTTACGAGCTGAACTCCCTGAAGGATAGGGTCGCGAAGGCCGACCAGCATGTCACCCGCACTGAGGCGTCCTTGGAGCAAAGTAAGAAGCACCACCAGCGCGCTATCTACTTTGCTTGGGCGCAAGGAGCTGAATGGCTGGTTGGAGCAGACATGTTCCAAGACGCTGACGCAGTAGCCTCAGCTAACACCACCACAGATATCTTCAATGAGATTCGTGGGAAGGTGCTACGACAACTGGCTGACTTCCCCATCAGCGAGCTGGCCTTCTTCGAGGGGGAGGAAATGGACGAGCAAGCGAAGAGGCTCACCCCTCCAGCTGACACCCAGGTGAAGCTGAAATGGGAGCTGAATGAAGAGGGGTTGCTAGTGTGGCCCCCTTCTGTTGTTGAAAAAGGAGAGGATACCGTGGGGTTGCCAAACTTTGATGCTTGGGTGGCAAACCCCCAAGAGGTACCTGCTGAGCCTTACAGCACTCCCCCATCCTCTCAGCCCACCATAGCCGCTGCTCCTGCTCTCTCTCCTCCAGATCGGTCATCTCTTGCTTGATCTGTTGCTGCACGCATTGACGCATCCATCCCCATCGACCTGACAGATGATTAGGTTAGGATTTTCTTTGTTTCTTTTGCATTTATTTTGTATTTTTGTATTGATCAATGAACCCATTCACCTTGTACTTCAAATGTAAAGAACATTGATGGAAATACAAACTTGAATATTTTCCTTTGAAATTTCTATAGTTATTGTTGTTGTGTACATTCTTTACATTGTTGTTTACAGTTGATTGCTAATAACTTGAATAAGATAATAACATACATGCTAACTGTAAAACTTTCTAAGGTTATGTATGTTCCAAATGAATGGTAACTGACGACCTTATAGGTCTGCCAACGGGTAAGACCCAAGTTGCTTAACACAAATAACCATATAAGGACCCTCCCAGTTCAGTGCAAGTTTACCCATATAAGGACCCATGTTGCTTAACAAAAATAGCCTAGCCTTGCGTAAAACCAAATCGCCAACTTGAAATTGACGAGCTTGGACCCTGTTATTATAAAATCTAGCAACACGACTTTGATGTGTCATATTTCTTATTCGCAACATCTCCCTAACCTCTTCTACAAGGTTTAGGTTCTCTCTTAAAAGTTGCTCATTACTAGGATCATTGTGCTGATCTGCTCTGTCGGATGGCAATCCAACCTCTACAGGGATGACGGCCTCAGCTCTATAGGCAAGGCTGAACGAGGTTTCGCCTGTGGCCGAGCTGGGTGTAGTGCAACATGACCAGAGCACTTTATTGAGCTCGTTAACCCAATTAGAGTGTGAGGCTAAAACACGCGTCTTGAGGCCTCGCAAGACGATTTTATTGGCGGACTCGGCTTGTCCATTTGACTGTAGAGTATATACAGATGTCAAGGTGAGCTCAATGCCATAGTCGTTGCAGAATGACCTGAGAGTTACAGCTTGAAACTGTGGACCATTGTCAGCGATGATCCGTTTAGGTATGTCAAACCTGTACACATATGACCGAGCTGAGCCACAAATTATATTTGTATACAATGTACAAATGGTTTAAGCCACCAAAGAGTACCTGCATAATATTGAGTTGAATAGGAATTCCTCTATTTTCTTCATTGTTATCGTAAATAATGGTTTGGCTTCTATCCATTTGGTGAAGTAACCCACCACGACAACTAGGTATGTGCAACCTCCTTTGCCTTTAACAAAAGGGCCGAGCAGATTGACTCCCCATTGAGCAAAAGGCCAAGGTGATGAGAGTGATGATGATGATAGCATTTCTCCTGCTTCAACGGAGATATTTATGTTTAGTTTATAGACAAACGTGAGGTTTGCATGAACTTTAGAACGAGCTCAGATACCTGGCATATAAATGTCATCAGCATTGAGCGGGCAGGTCGAGCACTTTTTGACATAACTCTGTGCGTCCTCAACCAGAGTAGGCCAGTAATACCCATGTCTCAGGAGTTTCCGAGCCAATGTTTTACCACCTATATGTGTGACATATTCTCCTTCATGAATTTCCTTTACAACATATTCAGCTTCATAAAGAGTAAGGCAGCGTAGTAGGAGCATTAAGGCTGCTCGCTTATAGAGCTAATTATCTATTAAGGTGAAGTGTGTCGCCCTGCGTTTAATCAACTTTGAGGTGGATGGGTCTTCAAGTAGCTAGCCACTTTGTAAATACTCAACAAGGGGTATAGTCCAGCTCGGTGAAAAAGGATTTGTGCTTAGCAATTGACACTCAATTGTGAAATCGGTATAGCTCAGTGCGTCAAGTACCTCCACAATTGTTGACCTCTGAGGATTGACATCTTGCGAGGAAGCTAATTTTGATAGCTCGTCAGCTCGTTGGTTATCTGCTCTGGGTATCTTGTCGATCTGAAAAGAGGCAAATCTTGATTTCAATCTGTTGACTACAGAAGCATAATGACCAAGCTGAGGGTCCTTGATTTCACAGCTCCCATTCACTTGGCCCACAACGAGCTAAGAATCGCTGAAAATCTTTATGCTCTGAACTTTCAGCTCGGACGCTAGCTTCAAACCATAGATAAAGGCTTCATATTCTGCAGCATTATTTATTGTTTGAAACTTGAACCTTAATGCGTGCTCGAATTTAAAGCCATCTGAGCCCACTAGCACTGCCCCAGCACTCAACCCTTCAACATTAGCCGCTCCATCTACATACAAAACCCAAATTGGGTATATAGGCGCCCTTTCTTCCCCTTCTTCCACAATCGTCGAAAGGCATTCCACAAGGAAGTCCGCCATCGCCTGCCCTTTAATCGTTGTGCGTGGCTGGAATTTAAGGTCATACTCACTCAGCTTGACACATTACCCAATCAGCCAACCAGAGAGCTCGAGTTTCTGCATTATCTTCCTCAACTGTAGGTCGATATAGACAACGATTTTGTGTGACTGAAAGTAAGCTCTCAACTTGCAAGTTATGTAGACAAGGGCAAAAGCAACTTTTTCTACTAGTGGGTAGTTCTACTCCGCGCCCTGTAAAACCTTGCTCACATAGCAGATGGGCTTTTGATGTTTATTCTGTTCTCTTAGCAAAACCAAGCTTACGGCCTCCTCTGTAACCCCCAAATACAGGTATAAACTCTCTCCCTCCATGGGCTTGGAAAGCAGGGGTGCTGACGCCAAGTATTGTTTGAGCTCGTCAAACGTCTACTGACATTCGTCGGTCCACTGAAAGTTCTTGGGTTCTCTTAAGGCTTTAAAGAATGAGAGGCATCTTTCTACCGACCTGGCTATGAACCTATGTAACGCAGCAACACGACCTATTAGATGCTGCACATCTTTTATGGTCTTGGGAGGCTCCATCTGCTGAACGGCCTAAACCTTTTCTAGATTTACCTCAATTCCTTTCTTGGATACCACGTACCCTAGGAATTTTCCTAATTCTACAACAAACGTGCATTTCAAGGGATTCAGCTTCATTTGGGCTCGGCGTAAGTTCTGAAATGTTTCGTTCAGGTCGTTTATATGATCTTCAGCTCGCTTACTAGTGACTATCATATCGTCCACATATACTTCAATGTTCTTGTCGATCTGGAGCTTAAAGACGACCTGCACCAGCTTCTGATATGTCGCACCAGCATTTTTCAAGCCAAATGGCATCATGATATAGCAATAGATTGCGTCACCAGCATAAAATGTTGTTTTCTCCTGGTCATCCAACAGCAACTAAACTTGGTGATAACCCGAGCTGGCATCAAGGAAACTCATGCGTTCATGTCTCGCTGCTCGTTCTACCAACTTCTCAACATTTGGCAAGGGGTGAGGGTCTTTTGGACACGCCTCATTTAAGTTGATAAAATCAATACACATTCTTCACTTGCCGTTTGGTTTCTTGACGAGCACAGGGTTAGACACCCACTCAAAGTACTCAACTCTCTTGATGAAGCCTACTTGGAGTAGCTTTTGTATTTCTTCATCTATAGCAGCTTGCTTTTCAAGACCAAAAAGGCGACGTTTCTGAACCACCAGCCTTTTGGTGGGGTCCGTGCGGAGCTTGTGGACCACCAACTCTGTTGGAATGCTAGGCATTTCATCCGTTGTCCATGCAAACACATCTTGACTAGCCCTTAAAAAACTCCAAAAGCTCTGCTTGTTCTCCTGCTATGAGCTTTGAGCCAACCTTAACTGTTCTTGTTGGCATGTTAGGGTTCAAAGGGACCGCTTCCACTAGTTCTACTAGCTCAGCCTTCTGCTCGACACCTTCAGGATGGTGCTCAATATCTAAGATGCTCATTGTCTGTTGACCAAGCTGAGTCAGCTTATGAATTTCAGAAAAGCCTTTTGGGGCTGCAGCGAGCTCAACCTTCTTGAACATATCTTGATAGCAGGCTCTAGCCATCTTCTGGTTCCCCTTAAGCACTCTTACCCCCTAAGGAGTTGGGAACTTCATACAAAGGTGAGGTTGCGAGATAACAGCCCTCAGCTCGCAGAGGGTGGCTCTTCCTAGTATGGCATTGAAAGCTAATTCCATTTTGATGACTAGAAAGCTAACTGAAGCCATCTTGAAACACGGTTCCAAGCCCACATAGACAGGAAGGGTAATTACTCCTTCAACCGAGATGGGTTGATTATCAAACCCATATATGGGCCCTTCATATTTCTACAGCGAGCTCGGATTCAGCTGCATCTTTTGAAAACAGCTCCAATACAGGATATCTGGTGAACTACCACTATCAATAAAGACTTTGTTGACGTTATGATTGCCTATATGGACCGTTGCCACAAAAGGATCAGCATGGGGCATCATAACATTTGGTTCTTTCTCTAACCGTTTGTAATCGGCCGGGTTGAATGTAATCGGAGCATTTTCCCATTCTGCTTCTTCAAAGGGGCGCTTCAGAGGCTTATTCTTATTCACTGCCATTACTTGACGAGCATACGCCTTACGACATCGAGCACTTTGGCCTCCTAAATGCATGCCACCAGAAATCATATTGATTGTGCTAGATGGCGGGGGTATCCCGCTGTATCCAACCCCTCTATAGTCCTTCTGAGTCTGTGTGGGCATTTTCTGCCCCTACCCTCGCCTATTGAATGGGCATCCCCTGTATGTCCTATTAGGCTCGAACGAGTATTGACTCGCCTGGTAAGGAATTGGGTTGTTGCTGAGCTGATATCCATGTGCTTGAGATCGGCCGTACTCTTGCACGAAATGGGTCTAGTTGGGTTGTCGAACATAAGGCTTTTGTACATACCCCTCCAATTTTCCATTACGAGCTAAGAATTCAAGCTCGTCCTTCAAGCTTTGATAGTCTTCCGTGTTATGGCTGTATCCATGGTGGTAATCACAATACTTGCTTCTGTCAGCTCATGAAGAATCGTGCATTTGGGGAGGGGGTCTCTTGACCCAGTGTTGTATTTGCGCCAATATCTAGGACCTTGACGAGTTCAGGGGAATGTAACTGTCATACTTTGGAAAGGAAGGTGGTTTTCCTCTTTGCTCGCCAACTTTTTATTTTTTCTTTTTGTCCCTTCCCTTAGGCTACCTGGGCTCTTCACCCTATCTGTCATCAGCTCGTCTCTTAAAAGATTGAAAATTTTCGGACAGTATGAAACTTGCCAACCTGTCATTTACTTCATTCCACGACTTAGGTGGATTCTCTAGCAGGTCATCTAGAAACCGGCCAGGTTTGAGGCCATGCAACAAAGCATATAAGCAGATGGTATCAGGGACATTATCAATGTCCAAAGTGGACTTGTTGAACCATTGCATATAGTCCCTTAAAGACTCTCCCTCCTTCTGATGAACTTGCATCAGCTCAGTAGCGGTGCGCTTGATTTCTCTTTGACTAGCAAACTTGTTCAAAAACAGAATGGCGAGCTCAGAATAGGAGGCTATCGAATGTCTAGGTAACTTGTGGTACCATCTTTTGGCCGTTGACTTCAAGGTCGTAGGGAAGACTTTGCACATCATGGCGTCAGTGGCGTTCTAGATCTTCATGATGGCTTGATAGGTATGCAAATGCTCATCCGGGTCTCCGAAGCCATCGTATGTCTTCAAATGAGGAATCTTAAATCCCTCTTGATATGGTTCAACCGTGATGGACAAGTTGAGGGAGGCACTATCCAAGTCAAGAGCTTGCTGGCGTGACCTGGGACTCTTTAGCTTATCAATAGACTTCTGCACATCTTTAAAATGTCTTTCGAGGTCAGCATTTTTCTTTAGTAGTTCTTCATTATGCCTGGACAAGCTAGGTTATAGGTTTAACTTCCCACTTCCCCTTGGTCTGGTTGGGACCATTACATTGCTTAAGGCTGGGGAGTTACGGGTTGCAACTACTACTACTAGCTGCTCACCCCTATTCAGCAGGGGAATTAAGGGGTCATCAAGGATCAAGCGAGAGAGAATTTTTCCCATGGCCATCTCTAGAACTCTTGTTCTTTCCTCCATTTCCAGAAATCTTGTTCTTTCCTCCAGCTCGAGCGTTTGAGCAGACTCTATAGGTCTCTCCATAGGTCGTGTAGTATTACGCCTGGGACGCTGTCGTCTGGCTTCAGACGGGTTGTGAAACTATTCTTCAAGTTGGGTTGCATACCTTGTAGGTGTTCTTTCATCATCATCTGAAGTGTTCGACTGTTCTTGCTCTGCACCGGCAACAAAGAAGTTTCTCGGAAGTGTTTGGAAGTCATTGAAATCACTTTCCAACACCTGAGTGTTATCCTGGTCGTCCACATTACCTCTTGGGGGGTGGTTTCCTATGAAAGTGTGCACCATTTTCAGTTCATGCCGGTTAAGTCATAATGCTTTTTGTTCGGGTTCCCACAGACGACGCCAAATGTTTGGGCAACTTCGTGATTCAACACTGTTGATATCTTCAACTACTTCCACACCTGAAAATCCCGAGGATGTTTCTCAGGGAAAACACTTCGACGCTCAAGTTAGCAATACTCAATGTTCTAAAGAGAGATGCTCTCGAAGAGTAATTGCAAAGAGAGAAGCGTAGTGGAGTTAATACCTTGCATAGAGGTAGTCGGGGTTATTTATAGCCCTATATACTGACATGAGTTCAGACATGTGTTCATCCCATTGATCTACGTTTTACTGCCAACGTGGGCGTGTCTCCTCATCTTGGGCCTATGGGTGTATAACTGAGCCTGTTGCATGTGGCCCGAAGCGGGTGTTGGGCCTAATCCCAACAAGAATTAACACTTTTTTTGTTTGTTTTGTATTTTAGGAAGAGGTCATTTTCTTTCTTACACACACTTTTCATGTTGTATAAAAAAATCTAATGCAAAAAACTAGAAAAT